GGATTTTTGCAAATTTAATGATGTAACCATCATGATTTTTTGCGAAAATCCTGAAAAAATGGATGTCCTTTTTTCCGATGGCAGTCGGTTGGCAGGACTCTCCCGATCACAGAGACATGCCAGGCCCTGATCGGCCGCTGTTCAGCCGAGATATAGAGTACGGAAAACCGACTATTTTTCGAGTAATGATATGCAGTTCTTCGAAAGGCTATATCTCAGCCAAATAGGGCCAGATCGGAGAAGGATTAACTCTCCTAGGATCATGAGTCGACTGGTAGGACTCTCTCGATCACGAAAACACATACCACGCTCTGATTGGCCGCTGTTCAGCCGAGATATAGCGTACGGAAGAACCACTATTTTACGAGTAACGATATGCAGTTCTTCGAAAGGCTATATCTCAGCCAAATAGGGCCAGATCGGAGAAGGACCAACTCTCCTAGGATCGTGAGGATCCTGACTATCGAACGGCTTCTAAAGGTCGACTCCGAAAATGAGGCCGATTTTTGGAAAATTTAATGATGTAACCATCATGATTTTTTGCGAAAATCCTGAAAAAATGGATGTCCTTTTTTCCGATGGCAGTCGGTTGGCAGGACTCTCCCGATCACAGAGAGACATGCCAGGCCCTGATCGGCCGCTGTTCGGCCGAGATATAGAGTACGGAAAAACTACTATTTTTCGAGTAATGATATGCAGTTCTTCGAAAGGCTATATCTCAGCCAAATAGGGCCAGATCGGAGAAGGACCAACTCTCCTAGGATCGTGAGTCGACTGGTAGGACTCTCTCGATCACGAAAAGACATCCCACGCTCCGATCGGCCGCTGTTCAGCCGAGATATAGTGTACTGAAGAACCACTATTTTACGAGTAATGATATGCAGTTCTTCGAAAGGCTATATCTCAGCCAAATAGGGCCAGATCGGGGAAGGACCAACTCTCCTAGGATCGTGAGTCGACTGGTAGGACTCTCTCGATCACGAAAAGACATCCCACGCTCCGATCGGCCGCTGTTCAGCCGAGATATAGCGTACGGAAAAACCACTATTTTTCGAGTAATGATATGCAGTCCTTCTCAGCCAAATAGGGCCAGATCGGAGAAGGACCAACTCTCTTAGGATCGTGAGGATCCTGACTATCGAACGGCATCAAAATGTCGACTTCGAAAATGAGGCCGATTTTTGGCAAATTTAATGATGTAACCATCATGATTTTTTGCGAAAATCCTGAAAAAATGGATGTCCTTTTTTCCGATGGCAGTCGGTTGGCAGGACTCTCCCGATCACAGAGAGACATGCCAGGCCCTGATCGGCCGCTGTTCGGCCGAGATATAGAGTACGGAAAAACTACTATTTTTCGAGTAATGATATGCAGTTCTTCGAAAGGCTATATCTCAGCCAAATAGGGCCAGATCGGAGAAGGACCAACTCTCCTAGGATCGTGAGTCGACTGGTAGGACTCTCTCGATCACGAAAAGACATCCCACGCTCCGATCGGCCGCTGTTCAGCCGAGATATAGTGTACTGAAGAACCACTATTTTACGAGTAATGATATGCAGTTCTTCGAAAGGCTATATCTCAGCCAAATAGGGCCAGATCGGGGAAGGACCAACTCTCCTAGGATCGTGAGTCGACTGGTAGGACTCTCTCGATCACGAAAAGACATCCCACGCTCCGATCGGCCGCTGTTCAGCCAAGATATAGAGTACGGAAAAACCACTATTTTTCGAGTAATGATATGCAGTCCTTCTCAGCCAAATAGGGCCAGATCGGAGAAGGACCAACTCTCCTAGGATCGTTAGGATCCTGACTATCGAACGGCTTCAAAAGGTCGACTCCGAAAATGAGGCGGATTTTTGCAAATTTAATGATGTAACCATCATGATTTTTTGCGAAAATCCTGAAAAAATGGATGTCCTTTTTTCCGATGGCAGTCGGTTGGCAGGACTCTCCCGATCACAGAGAGACATGCCAGGTCCTGATCGGCCGCTGTTCAGCCGAGATATATAGTACGGAAAAACCACTATTTTTCGAGTAATGATATGCAGTCCTTCTCAGCCAAATAGGGCCAGATCGGAGAAGGACCAACTCTCCTAGGATCGTTAGGATCCTGACTATCGAACGGCTTCAAAAGGTCGACTCCGAAAATGAGGCGGATTTTTGCAAATTTAATGATGTAACCATCATGATTTTTTGCGAAAATCCTGAAAAAATGGATGTCCTTTTTTCCGATGGCAGTCGGTTGGCAGGACTCTCCCGATCACAGAGACATGCCAGGCCCTGATCGGCCGCTGTTCAGCCGAGATATAGAGTACGGAAAACCCACTATTTTTCGAGTAATGATATGCAGTCCTTCGAAAGGCTATATCTCAGCCAAATAGGGCCAGATCGGAGAAGGACCAACTCTCCTAGGATCGTGAGGATCCTGACTATCGAACGGCTTCTAAAGGTCGACTCCGAAAATGAGGCCGATTTTTGGAAAATTTAATGATGTAACCATCATGATTTTTTGCGAAAATCCTGAAAAAATGGATGTCCTTTTTTCCGATGGCAGTCGGTTGGCAGGACTTTCCCGATCACAGAGAGACATGCCAGGCCCTGATCGGCCGCTGTTCAGCCGAGATATAGAGTACGGAAAAACCACTATTTTACGAGTAATGATATGCAGTTCTAAGAAAGGTTATATCTCAGCCAAATAGGGCCAGATCGGGGAAGGACCAACTCTCCTAGGATCGTGAGTCGACTGGTAGGACTCTCTCGATCACGAAAAGACATCCCACGCTCCGATCGGCCGCTGTTCAGCCGAGATATAGCGTACGGAAAAAGCTTTGGAACACATCCCTTGGACCTCCCAAGAGCACGAGGAGCTACGGCGGAATCACCCGCGGAGGAGGTATCGCAGTTTGTGGCCAGAGAGGCTCTCGGCCAATAGAACTGGAGGTAATACAATCCACGGAAAAGTGGAAGTTAAAGTCTCGCCTTGCTTATCAGGGGATATATACATATATTATGAAATATGCTCTCAGGAGGAATAAAGATATTTCATTAATGTCCACAATCATGGAAGATATATAATTATTTCTGCGCCAGAACTGGTTTTAACCGGCATATATATCGATACAAATATTGTTAAAAAAGACACTAGGTGGCGCAACATTGTCATTTCCAATAAAAATACGGCAGGGGGTGCATTTAATGTTAAGTGGAAGCTTTTAAAGCATTTTTGTTTAAACATTTTTAAATAAAATAAATTGAATGAGAAGCTCTGAAAACATAAACTGCTCATGCTCACAATCAATCTTTCAATATTAAGTCGGCCTACTTAGGGTCGTACGGTCGCGACGCCGACCGCCCTTACACGAATTCATTCTGCTAGAAAGTACTGTCCAGACAAGCAGCGACGACGCTAATATTGATTTTATACTTAGTGTCCGAATTTGTATTCATTGTGTTACTTGACAGTGAGTTTATTAAACAATTTTATAAAATATAGTACTAATATATGAAATATGAGTATTCCTTACTTCACTCAAAAATATTGCTTTGGTTTAGTGAAACGCTTTTCATACAGAAATAGTTGACTATTGTCAGACTATTGTCTGGAATATAAGACACATGCGGTAATGAAAAATAACAAAAATATATACAAAAAAGTAACAAGAATTTGAATACAAAGATATGTATGTACTCTCGTCTGTAATTATAATTCGGTCCTGATAAAAAGCTGTAAAACAACTGATGATTGTTCAATTCACGAAAGATATAACTTTTTTGCGAATGATCGTCAAAACCTCTAAAACTCAAAATGTACTTAATTGCAGAATACATTAACCCAACATTTGCACAAATTACAACCAATATTTGCCCTCCCAATGTTTTTCGCTAGCCGGAAAGTGTTAACGGGCAAAACTAATTTGCTCAGCACTAGCATTCATGAAAGCCATTGAAGCCTTCCGTTGTGTCGTCAACTGAAAATGCACTTTCGAAAGACTAGTACTTTATTGTGTTGTGTTTTTGGTTCCGTTGTTGATAAGCTAAAAATAAATAAGGCTAATGTTATTGAAATGATAAAACATAGTAGAGAAGGTTAAATGAATAACAGAATGACCAACAGTATGCACGAAAAGCTGATAGGGAAAACAAAGGAACATAACCAAATATGATTTGAGAGATTCAGTAACTAACCAGAATATCTAAAGTTTTAAAATAGGTATTACAAGAACCGCGAATACCCTCCAAAAGTATCATAGAGTCTTCTACTTATGATTCTTATTTCCTGCACTGAAACATCAGCTGCAAAACCCTGACCTTTTCAAGGGTATACGCCGATTTTCAGACCCTAAAATATGTCCAGATCCCTTTACGCAGATTGACACATTTGACACGCACAAAAAAAGCTAATTAAATAGGTACAAGTATAGGCAAAACAAAAAAAAAAACCGCCTTAGGTGACGGGTCATTGCATGTCAGTGGACAATTTCTCGCATCTGTCGCTTAATTGTTTTCAATTAGTTCTACGCCACAAGTAAGCTCATTATGCACTTAGCAAATGAACCGAAATTGCTTCAATTTTCAATGGTGGAAATGTTTTTAGGGGAGAGAGTGACAGATGTCTCTGGGTCGCCTCTCTCATGGTAATTAAATGTGAAGACGCGCTGCGCTGATTTTCGTAATCTTTACACCAACCTCTAAACAGTCGACAGCAAAACAGTAAAAGCCACAAAAAGTTTATGATATAATGAACCGACGAAAACTGTGTAAAACCTGGCATAGGAGCCAAAAACTGCAGTCGTCTTGTGGCTCTTTTACTGCCTTGCTGCTGCTGCTGCTGTAAGTAGTTTTTTTTTTGTTATTTACAATTGTTACTGGTTGTACAAAATATCCGAAGCCCGAAAGCCGAAAAATTAAAGCGAAAATCGGTGTCCGACGAACGAAGTCGCGACTCGATCCATTCAGTGCGTGATCCGCGCTCAAAGTAACAACTTGTGCCACCGCAAAGAGGCAACGTCCATAGTGCGCGAGCGAGACTCGATTTGGTGTATAGCTATAAACATACAGAAAAAAAAACAACTCAATAATATAGTGCCCAGTAGTGATAAGCAAACGTTCCACAACGTTCAACCGCAGTCCAATCCACAATTTCTCTTATCACTGACCGAACTCTCTTAACTTAACCATGCAGCCAGTACTGGAATCAACAATTTATAAACTGATAAGAATGACAACGATTCTCGAACTTATCACCGGCTTCATCTACACAGTCGGCATTCTGACGATAGCCGCCTTTCTATACGAGAACCTTAGGTCCTTGGTGGGGATCATTAAATCGTTGCTGGAACCGTATTTCCAGCCCCAATTACCAAAGACTTTGGTCGAAAAGTATGGCAAATGGGCAGGTGAGTTGTATAATCCACAGTGTTGCGAAAGTTTCACGCTTCCTACATATACATATGTACATACATATGTAGGCATATATTTCTCCGATATTTGCATATTTGCTTGAACCCCCGGCGACTGGCAGCATTTAGTTTTTTTGATTTGCCTTTCCTTGTTGACTTTCTTTGAAATGCAAATTGTTTACCCTAGGTGCGGTGTGAGGGTTAGATGTGTACTATATTTACTATGCCTACAGTATCTGGAAAATTCCCTTATCAAATAATTCGCCTATAATAAGTGAATATTTTGTAAATTGCTTAGGCATTCAATAAAACTCTGTAATAGCGCACTATTCCCACATTTAATACGAATTTCGTGAGTTTTACTCTTTTGAATCATTAGACTAATGGAAGTTAGTTCTCTTCCTGTTCATCAGTAATATATTATAGTATACTGCATACTGTAAGATCATTACAAGCATTCATTGCTTTTAGTGACTCCTCTTAAGTGTTTTTATTTGTATTCAATTTTTAAAGATTTCATCTATATTTGTAATCCTATATTCCTTTACATTATTGGCTTTCAATGTCCTTTAGTGTACCCATATTCCTCGGTTTTCCATACTCCCTATATCTTGGGATACATTCACTTATCCCTTAATATTAAGGGACTCTCAATTTCGAGCATTCATAAAGTACTTTTATTTTCACCTAGAATCTCACTTAGTTCCATTTAGAATCAAATTTACCCAGAGAATTATGCAAATGTTTGTCTTAGTTAGCTAACAATATTCTCCCACAAAGTTTTTGTTGATATTTCAGTTTATAGAGCAGCAAAAGTCATTCAACTCGAAACCGAAAGCCGGTTTCGCTTTGCGATTTTTTTCCCCCCCATTTTTATGTTCATTTCTTTATTGTTAATTTCGTTTTTACTTCACGATTTCGTTTTCAGTCTCGTGCTTCTACACGAACGTAAACGAATGTAAATTTAACTGTCGCTAATCGCGTTTATTGTTTTGAATTAATAATTGACCTTCAATGGCAGTGGGCGATCGTGATCGTTTTGATCGAATTCTGCATATTTTGCCTAATTCAATTACGGATATTTTCATGCCTCGAAAGGCCGATTGAATCCATACTCAGTGCATAGTGTTCAGTGTACACGAATCGAGCTGCAAAATCTTTGCCCCATTCATAATTATCTAGCAACACGCAAGCGCAACAATCGATGGTGGTGGTGCTGCTGCTGGTCATGTTTCTGTTGCACAAATATTTGGCAACGCAACCAATAACTGGCTGGAGCCGCCACAACCGAGCAGGTTGTGCTTCTACCAGTACTTTTTTGTGGCCATTCATAATGTTTGCATTGGTTTCGACAACCACAGCCGGCAAGCAGTGGTATCTGGCAAACTGGCAACTGACGAAGTGATTAAAAGACACCAAACTAAATAAAACGAGTTGATTAGCAGACACATGCTAATTTGTTAAAGATTTGGTAAACAGATCTTTCATATTTTCGGGAGTACACAAACGAAAGTGTCGAAATTTTTGAATTATAATAAATGCTTACATCAGAGTGTTTCTCCAAAACGTTCTGCAGGTCCCTGTCTAATTTATAGATATCGAATTCTAATTCAAGAGCCACCAACAGATCGCTAATAAGGAAAATCTAGTGAACAAGGTTTTAAAATTAAATAGATATTTCGTTTTTATCTTTTGGCTATAGTCAAACAGTTTTCTTTTACTAAAGTGATATTCTACTGCCAACTCTTTAGCTAAAAATCTACCTAAATAAACATGTTCAAATATGTATACCCCTTTGAACAACCTTCACCTGTACGAGTACTCATCGCTTGTCCTTTCCCTTTGCTTCCTTTCACTTCACAGTCATTACGGGTGCCACAGATGGTATTGGCAAGGAATATGCCAGAGAGTTGGCCCGTCAGGGCCTTAATCTGGTGCTTGTCTCTCGCACCAAGGAGAAGCTGATTGCAGTCACCAATGAGATTGGTAAGCTCAAACCCAGTCAATCTTTATTTTTACTGTTGTAAATGGTAACTGTAACTGTATTACAGAGAGCCAATACAAAATAAAGACCAAATGGATAGTAGCGGACTTTGTCAAGGGTCGCGAGGTGTACGAGCACATCGAGAAGGAGCTGGCCGGCATCGAAGTGGGAATATTGGGTGAGTAAGATGTACATACATAGACACAGGTACTGCCGCACCGGGGCAGACAAGTGCTTCATCATTGTCCACAGTAGCAAACGGCAATCAACAGAGTGGCTTTTTATTTGTGTGTTTCGGTTTGGTTTTGTTGCCCCCTCTTTTTTTTATGTTTATGTTTTTGTCAATGTCATATAATAATAATTGCTTGCAATTATAATGCCTCTTTTTTTGGTCTATTGGCGAGACGAAGAGTTGTGTGTGTGGCTTAGGCGATGTTCAAGTACATCGACGATGTGGATGGAATTTTATTCGCCAAAAATTCATAAACGCTTTGACGCGCTTCAGCAATTTACATTTTCATTGCGTTTGGCGGAAAAGAGAGATACTCGCAGAGATAGGAGAGACCCAACCTTGTTTGCGCTTCAAGGCATTTTCTGAAACGACCTGACATTGATCTTGAACATGGAAATTGATATCTCTCTCTCTCTCGTTATCTTGCAGTTAACAACGTGGGAATGATGTACGAGTACCCTGAAAACTTTGAAGAGGTCAGCGAGGATCTGCTGTGGAACCTGATGACCGTCAATATCGGGTCTGTGCTGATGCTCACTCGCAAGCTGCTGCCTAGAATGAAGGCCGCCCGCCGCGGGGCCATCGTCAACATTGGCTCCTCCTCGGAGCTGACACCGCTGCCCTACCTAACGGCTTATGGTGCCAGCAAGGCATTCATGACCTATTTCACCAGAGCCCTAGAGCGGGAGGTGGCCCCCCACAATCTCGACGTACAACTGGTGCTGCCCGGCTTTGTGGTCACTAAGATGAACGCCTACTCCGAACGCGTGATGGAGGGCGGCTGGATCTTCCCCAATGCCCATAGCTACTCCCGATCCGCCGTCTTTACCCTGGGCAAGACAAGCGAGACCAACGGGTTCTGGGTTCACAGCGTACAGGTACAGATCTGAACTATTTAAACATACACATTTGTATTCTTTGTTTTCCCTTTTTCCAGTACTTCTTCATGAAGTTGGCTCCGATCCGCATCCGAATGGTCTTTGCCCATCTGCTATCCAGTCGCTTGAGGTTCGATGGTCTTGAGCAGAAGGCAAGGAAAGAAAAATTGGTCACTTAGCTGGGCTTTGGGCCGTCCTCACTTCAACTGTGTTACAAGTCATATATGTATATATGTATCTTTGGTTCGTAGTCTAAATGTTTATAAAATTAACAAAAATAATTTTGTACCAATCTAAGAATAATAAAATTAAATTAAAACCAAACAAAACGGGTCTTCAATTACTTCTTCCACAATTCCACACTTGCACATAACAGAGGCCTTAGATTAGATAAAGATTAGAAAGATACAGATGGGCATGGATACTCTTCATTACCCTCCTTCATTATTATCCTCAAGAATGCACATATTCGTATATACGAAATAAATACGAGTATGACATTGTTTCTCTTTGTTGCAAGCTCGTGTTCAAAATCAGCATACCCTCCCTCTGTGCTGGTATTTTTATAAGAAGAGACGTGAAAAAACCGGCTGGCCAAATCAATAGCCAAAATGCATGCGGTAAAAACTCTACTCTTGTGCATTGCATAACCACACCACTGCAATTTTGTTTTGCTAAAAAGCAGAATGGGGGATCATGGGATCAGTGAGAATTCGGTTTGCAGGGAGAGGTGTACGGTTATCACCCGTAAAACCGGTTGGCCAGCGAAACTACTGACCGACAAAGCGGTAAAAAGCCAAAAAAGCCATCAGACGGAAGCGAAGCCTCCAAAAGCCTTCCCCAGAGATGACGCTGGCTGCTTCGCTTCATTGCAGCCACTTTGTGCTACTCTTTGTGTTTGTTTTCTGTGAATTTTGTATTTTATTGTAACCTTTTTAGCAGCAAGTGAGGCTTCAATTTAGCATGTTGCATGCAAATGAGTTTCGGGTGGTTCAGGGAGGATGGGGGATGCACTCAATGAACTCTCGAGGAACTGCCCACAATATGACCCAAGGCGATATTACAATAGAAGTTGTCGATGACCTTTTTATTTCTGATTGAGGAGGTCATTGATAGAAACCACTAACAAAAAAAATTAGTACATTCTTATTGAATTACTAAGAGAATGCAGACAGATTTTACTCCTCATTATATTGATGCTAATAGCATTATGAATATATGGACAAAAGGGATCAAAAATTAAACCTATGTTTTTTGAATGTAGTTTTTCCATTAAATGATTTCTGATCAGTTTCCGATCAGGATCAGGAATATATACTTTTTTGCATCCATATGCCACATATGTACATATTTATATACATTCTACATGATATATAAAATATACCTAGCTGTATTTATAGCTACACCCCCAAAAATATGCTTTTTATTCAGTTTGGAATGCTACGAGTACGGAATGATAAATGTAGTGCGAAAGTAGACGGTGGTGTTGAAGCCATTTTTGAATCTGAACAAAAGTGTATTGATCTATTTACATACAATTAAGAAATCCACTGTTAGTTATAGATAGTTAGATTATGGCAGTGAGGCAATGGCATCCCAGCTGGAACACAACCAAAGCATCAGGGGGGTACCCTCCTATTTATACACAAATTTTGAAAAATCCAAAATCAAACAATCAAAGATCAATAACCAAAAGATATTCATCTGATATGAGGGGCTGGACACGATATTGGAAAAATATCTTTGTAAATCTCGAGAATATTAAAACATTTTCAAGGTTTTCTTTCTAGTTGTTTTATTCCTGCAGTAGGTTGCTGTTGTTGTTGTTGCTTTTGTTGTTTTGTTGCATGTGCATTTGCTTTGTTATTCACAATAAATTAAAGAAAAGTCAAGTAAAATGCAGTTATACATTATGTAAGTCTTACTAAATACGAATGCGAAATAAATTTGTGGTTTAACAATGAAATAATAACCAAATTCTTGAATGTTCTTATTGATGGCTGTGGCTGTTGTTCTTGCTGCTGTGCATCATGGTCTATAAATTGCAAATTAAGTCAATTCCATTGCGAAACGAAAACGAAAAAGAATTCATAAAATTAAATTTATGATTAGAACAGATGACGCCGTGGCCGACAGAGCCTTGAGGATGAATCGATCTTGCACCGCCGCGAAGATGGAACAAATCTAGCGCAGCCCTAGAAATATACACGGATAGATCGATATATGTATGTACATATGTACATAAGTGAGCCGAATCGGTGGGAAATTGTAATTAATGGTACTTACCTCTCAGCATGGGTGGACCATTCATCATGATCATCATCATCATCATCACCAGAACGATAATGCTGATGCTGAAGACGGCGAGCCCCCTAAGAACTGTGCTAAACTAATCGCGGGGCCTGACATTTGGCAGCTGGTTGCTTTGACGTCATCTGCAATGTGGGAATTAGTTTGTTTAATACTATAAATGTATGTAGTAATGTATATTGGGTATTCCATAAATCGCAGATTGAATAATTGTTTGCAATTGAAAACTGTTCGAGATTTATATAAATTTTCGCTTTTACTTTCGCCTTTGATTTGTGTTTTGTTTGTTCAAGTGGTCGAATTGGCATAAACAATGGCAATAATCTCTTTAAGGTTTATTTTTAGTTCAACCATATAATTCATTAAGGGATTTGGTCACGGTTAAACGCCTATCTGGATACCTGCCCACCAAATATTGCGTTTTTTCTATCAACAAAGTTTGTGATACATTTAATAAAAAGTAATTATAATTTTCCACCTTCAGCGTATCATAAATTCTGACCATAAAAAATGTCTTTGAACATTTTTATACTTCTGCCGGCAGCATTGAGAAAATTTCGGGCAAGATTTGAATCACAAAATAGAAAATTGCGAAATAGAAGAGTGAAAAATTTGGAAAATGTGTGAATACGATTTTTAATGTGTCTCAGGGGAAAAGAGACAGCATGAGGCTGAGCGGGGCAGGAAGGTGCTCAGTGGGCCATGTCGAAATGTTGTCGTTAAAAAATAGAACAAGAAAGTCTATTTTTTCGTTTTGGAAAATTATTATCGAGCTGCCACTGCCAAACGGCGGCTGCCAAGAAATTTTCAACGATCGCTTGAGGTTCTGTCAAGGTTTCACTTCTATGCTAAAGAAATCTGACCGATGACATCTCGAAAGATTTTTTATTTGATTTGCGTGGGCGTAATTGAATTAATTAGGCGTTGTACTAGCTGAGAGAAGACTCACCTGGCTTAGGTTACTAGTAGAAATCCATTAAATGCTAACATCTTAAACGCGTAAGGTCCTAAAACTCCTCCTAGGCCACAAGTTGTTCATGATTTGGCTTGGAATTGAAATTCAACATGTAAGCTATCCTTGATTGATTGATTGATGATTGATTGGGTTGATGGGTGGGGTTGTTTAGAAAGCGGCTTCGTAGAAGGCATAGAGCAGAAACAGCAAGAAGGCCAGGATCAGGAAGGTGGTGAACAAACTTCTGGCTTCATTCATTTTGATAGGTTTTGTTGTTGTTGTTGTTGGTTGCTAATGATTACAATGGAAATTATGGAATTAATTGAGTTAAATTTTGGCAGTCCTGGTGGCACACAAAAGCACACACTTTTGGGGGGTATTTCTTATTGGGGCACTGCTCCAACCGTTCGTAGCTAAAGGCACGCAATAACTGAGACTCTGAATTTTCGGATCTGAATTCCGCTTCTCCACAAAATGTTGGCCAGCGCTTGGAATTATTGCTCTAGCAGACACACGCACTCCCATACATCTGATTATATATATTTGATAATACATATATAAAACATATATTCAGATATTTTGATCATGCTTGTATGGGTGTCCAGTTGTTGCTCATATTTTCTTTGCTGCGGCACAAATATTTCCCACATTTTCAAAAATATATATATGTATATACCACACACATCAGGATGGCATATATGCATATAGGTTATAGTTTGGTATATTTTCAAGATATATATGCTTGGATTCCATGGGATTCGACTTCTCTCGCTCTCTCTCCAAAAATTATTCATTAACTGGATTGCACCCAGACAAATTTGCTTCTCTCTCTAAATCTGGATCGTGGACCTTGTCATTTGAAAACGTTTTTCGAATAATTTTGATTTATTTTGTCTGGGATTCATGGAGGCAAGAGAGAGATGTATTTTTTCCAGCTGCCTGTTTGTTTTATCAAGATACATATTTATTTACTTTCCACCACCGAATGGATTTGCCTTGTTTGCTGCCGCAATGTTTCCAAATATTGATGGAATCTTGAACATTCCCATTGCAAACCAAACATCATTGAGTTTATGGCACATTTAGGGTCTTAATGAGTTTTCCAAGGATTGTTGATTGATTCTCATTTATTCGAAAGGGATTATCGATGTTGGGCTAATTGGGTTTTCGAAAATACCAAATAAACATATTTTTCGAAAAGAATTACCTGAAGATCAGGGCATTGTTGTTTACACAACATCAATATGTTGTTTATCATATATTTATCATATGGATTTAAAGATCCCGAGAAAGATTCAATTATTCTTTGAATAAAATCGATGCATAGCTTTTTAGAGAGGATCCCTTGAAACCCTGAAGGAGTCATAAGCGGAGGATGTCCGGATACCAAGTTTATAAAGAATGCGGACTTTATTTACCTTTATAGTGCTTATAGCTTTTTCGAACGTTTTTCAACCCCTAGTACATCCATTTTATCACCAGTCTTACCCCATATTCCTGCTCAAAGGACCTCCTAGTGGCCCTGGCAGTCTACAATACTGCATAGATGAGGTACAGGCAGAAGAGCAGGAAGGCCAGGATGCCGAAGGTGGTCATGAGGTTCTTTGCTTCGCTCATATTGATTGGATATTCTGAAAAAAGATCCGGGAAAATATTGTTTTCAATATTAGATTGGAAGGAAGCCAGACAAAGATATATAAAATATATGACTGTCTGTTTTTATACGGCGCGTGAGAATTTTAATTTGATAGGAACATTCAAAAGGCGGCCATAAATTCCGGAAAAAACACATATCATTTTGTTTTTTAAAATAAGCAAATTAAATAAAATTATATTCTATTCTATATAAAAAAAATGTTTATATAAAGAAGACAGATATCACAGCCATATGGAATCTAAAAACATGTAGTCTCTTCATATCTTTTTTATATCTATTTGAGGTTTCTTTGCTTTATACAATATTGCTGATAGAGCAATCAAAGAACCGTCCGTCTATATAGATGGGAATAATTCCAGTTTTATAGATTGGAACAGTTCCAACAAATAAAAGAATTGATAAAAATATTTATTAGCACGGCACACTTGAATTCGATTTTAGAATTTTGCGTTTAATGGCGGAGGAACTACGAATCGTTGACGGGGTCGCACAGATCACTTGAGTTTGCTCCTGGGTTACCTTTGGTTGCTTTTTGGGGGAGACACAATTTCGTGCTATTAACTGGTGAAAGACTTTAGCTCAACTAAACCGAACCGTCCACGAATGCCACGCACTTACCGTCCTCCCTGTGATATAGATGAAATACTTGCGAACTGCAAACATTTGCCGTCCACTGGCATACACACTCAACCAGAAGATCTGACAAGTGGATATAGAATCACATACATATACCCGTAACTATATGTGTGTCTCTATGTATATAGCAAAATGTTCTGTAGCATCGGCCAAAACGAGATGCCACTATACTAGTAGGGGGCAACAAGTGCAGACTTTTTGGAAAGTCGCAAAGATATAACATCGAAAATAAATAAAATAAATCTACAGCGCACATTTTGACAGTTTTCGAGCAGCCGTTGGCCGGATCTAAAGCTCAACCACCACCGCTACCAACAATAACAATACGCTTATTATAAATAATTCTCGTACACCCAGACACCATATTGGTGTTCCATTTTAGTCACACGAAAAAGAAATCATGAAACATTTTCTTCTGAACTAATTGACAGATGGACAGATATTTTGGAATCTCCCGCAAGTGCAAAAGAACTGGGAACATGAATATGAAAATTGATTTGAGATCTTAAAGATTTTTGAGGTCAGGGAAATACGTCAAGACAGTGGCGTATTCGAAAAGGGATGATAATCGTTGTAGAATGTAGCACTCCTTCCCTTTTTCGATTTAGACATGCATCAGATTATAGATATATATTTATGTCTAAGCACCACCCAGCATTTTCATAAACAACATGTCGCTTATATTAGGTCCATGACTTCTATAAAAAATACACACTTTCCGCAAAGCTGACACTTGTCATTAAGTCAATTTGAAAATGCACTGCGCAAATGGCGGAAAACAAACGGAACGACGGGACAAACATTCTATATACATATTTGAAGGTACATATTTTGGACATATGTACATCTATATTTATGTGCAAAAACCATATTGTACCTAATGACCAAAACAATTATGGAAAATGGAGGAGATAATTTTCTCTTAGTTGAACTCGAACCCTCATGAAATCAGAATGAAATATTTGACGATTGGAAAAAGCTTTTTAAAAATTGATCAGAAATTTCAAATGTATTTTTGGAAAATGCATTTACGAAATATGTAGTTTTTTTTTGTTTGAGTAAAATCCATTTAATGTATTGTACGTGAGAGTGTTTGCGGCTGCAGGACACTAAGGCAGCTGCGAACACAAGGCGTATGCGTAGTATTTGGTATAAATTCGGTGGAAATTGTGTAAGTGCATGATTGTCTGCTGAAAAGTAAATTGAAATACATGATCAATTTTGATATATCGTACAAGGTCATATACAATAGATGGAACACTTAAAACGTCCTGAATAATTAGTAGGAAAAAGAAAGATTGAGATTAGATTGGAAACACAAGCGTGGTTTCGATATTTTAACTAGGTTTTCCAGTAAACTTATTTCATATTTCTTTGTTGAAAAACAAGACGTGCCATTTCTTATAGTGCTCATATGTGCACGCATACAAAAACACATGTACATAAATACACTCTCGTATATATATTTTGGTTCATTTCGTCATCAACGGATCAACAAATCTTTAAGGTCAAGGCGAGTGAATACTGGAACACTCTATGAGAAACTGAGCAGCTCAGAGAGCAGTGAGAACTTGGAGAACTCCGATAGAAGCTAAGCTCAATCCACAGCTGTCGAGGCTTATCATTAAGGTCTCTCGGGGTCCCTCACTCTCTGGGAAAGACGAAATTTTTGCGCAGTTTTCGCGAAACCAAAGTAACGAGCGGACGATTAGAAAATAATGCGTTGGAAGCTACTGCTAACCGTGTGCTTAGTTATAGTCACTAAATTGGTGGTGGGAAAGAACGTCAAATATGCGGAAGCCGAGGCAGAATCGGAGATCGAGTCGGGGCAATTCTTTAGCCAACTCTACAAGAGCAATCTCCGGCAGATGGTCCGAATGAAGAATGATTCGGCCGATCCCTGCGATGACTTCTATGCCCATGCCTGTGGGAACTTTGATCAATCACTGGTGGATGAGGATGAAGTGCCACCGTATCTGTACAACAAACAAGATCGAATGCTCTTTTTTCAGGCACAATATGGAAACTTCCAGACGTTACCAGGTCGCTTGATCTCCCAACTATACTCCGAGTGTCGAAGCAGAGGGGAGAGCCATGTACTGAGCGTGAAGCCCCAGCTCTCGCATTGGGAGCGTCTGCTGGAGGAGATCCCATTCCTGAGAGAGCATGGAGAAGTTCTCTCCGCCTGGCCCTTCCTCCGACATCAGTGGGAACGCAGGCAGCTGGATGGTAGGCTCAATTGGATCGCTCTCTCCGCTCAGTTCGCGGCGCATGGGTTTCCAACACTTCTCCACATCTACTTTGCCCCACAAACCATCTATGTGAGCCCCTTGCAGGATCTACCATGTCCCAGCCTGGCGGAGTTCCAGTCGAGCATGTCAGATGTCCTGGAGGGTCGCCACCCCAATGTGGGACACATAGTGGCCCACGAGATGCGAATCCTATGCCGAGGAATGAGAGGAGAACTTCCGCTGGTCAGGAGTCTTACAAGAAATGGCGGGACAACGCCTAGACCCGATCAGGAGCAGCTACTTCTCGACGACAACACCATGGAGTACTTCCAGCACTTTTTCGCCACGCTCAACTTCACTGAGGAGCAACTGGAGACGGCACGAAAACTCCCTTTGGATGTGCAGAAGATCAGCCAAGCCTGGCAGGTCCTTCGGCAAACGGAACCTCGCATCGTCTACAACTATGTGCTGTGGCAGCTCAAGGAGCAGCTCCTCTATACCGATTGCTTCCAGCTGGCCGAGGAGTTTGAGAGATTACTTCACTGCGAGTACTGGCAGTGGCATGTCCTTAGCCCTCAGATCAGCCGAGAGGTGGCACTGGCCTCCTATCAACTCCATACCACCCGCTTCCAACAGCGGCGTCGCTCGACTCTGTCTCGAAGGGATTGGTATGGCCATCTGCTCCCAGCATCCGTGGAACGAAAGGAGCTGCAGGTGGCCCGCCTGCTGCAGTCCCATGCTCAGGCCTACCTGAATATCACGGAGCTAAACCATAACTACAGGGACCTGGGGTTCTCCAGCAATGCCTTCCATAGGAACCTTCTACTCCTCAGACGAGCGCAGCTTCGTCACAGCTTCATCTCCCCCTACATCGACGAAGAGGATGTCAATGGACCAGCCTATTTCCTGCGACACTTTCTGCACTTTGTGCTGTTATCGCTCCATCGACCCACCTATCACTATTATGCCACCCAGGGCCTGGAGCTGTGGCGCCAGTCTCATCTCCTACTGGACACTGATGGACGATACACCGCCTTGGACTGCCTGGAGCGGCAGTCGCTGCAGCAGTACGACTCCCGACTAGCACCCATTTACCGGCAGCTCAGCGCGGATGAGATTGGGGAGATCTTCCTTTTTTATCGCTCGTTTCAGGCCTCACTGCGGGACTATCGCTTCTGGCTTCAGGGCGAGCGCTTCGCCTTTGCAGAGGCTTTTGTTCTGAAGTACTTCCATCTGGATCCTCAGCGGGTGCTCTTCTATGCGGTGGCCCAGCAACTGTGTAGCCGGCAGACGGATATCTTTGCTGCCCAACTGAATCGGGGATACATGAATATGCCAGAGTTCCAAGAGGCCTTCAAGTGTGACTTGAAGCCCGATAAGCCTATGAATCCACCAGCCAGGTGCATGATTAATATGTGTGATTAATCAGAAATTAGTAAATGGACATGGAGAAAACATGTATCTATTTAAGTACTATTTTCGAACGGTATTGACGATTTTCAATCAACCAAATGTTAATTTCTAAATAGCCTTAAGACTTGTACATATGTAAATATCCTATAAATAATTTAATGGAGCTGACGAAATTACCAATCTCAGACCCACATGTCGTTCATTTATGGGTACGGGTGGCAAATGTACATAAATATGTCTGTCTATTAATTCGAATTTTTTTTGACATTCCGTTGAAAAGATTATGGGTACACTCGCACGTACATATGTATATATGTATATAGGAACAGATATAGAATATATAAAGTATGGTTATTTGTAGGGAATTTTCGTGGGTGTTCTAGACACACGTATCGGTCATAAATTGGAAAAGCATTGAAACAGTTCCACGGAGCTATTCAAGCAGAAACACACTTCTGGCCAGAAAAGAAAAATAAATCACCTACGATGGCAGCCACAACACATAATTGTATCCATCGAAGGTGAAAAAGAAAAAAAAAAGAAAAACCCAACCAAAACGTTAATCTCATTCAGATTGGTTTTCATTGACCTGGGTCGGGAAAAATATCCAACCCAGTATTCACTACTGGCACCGAGTTATCTATGTGGGTTTCGCGTCGCGAGTCTGAGTCAATAATGGTATAAGATTCTGGTTAAGGCCATGCCCGATTACAATTTCTATAAGACATGAGATTCCTATAAATGCAAAAGACAGGCGAACATTCGCCCCTGTACGTGCGCCGAGATCTCTGCCGATGACAACAAAAAGTTTTCATTCAGCAAACGCATTCTGCTGACAATTGAAACCACAAACACGTAGGCGAGTGTTGATCGGTGGATCGGCAGTGGTGGTGAGTGTAAGTGCCTGTGTGGGCGATGCGTTGAGAGAACGATGTGATTGAATGAGTGAGGTTGTGAGTGTTGTGCGAATGCATTTATGAGTTATGGAAGACGGAGTGTACAAATACCATGTGGAAATAGGAAGAGCTTTCAAAACCTTAATAGTTTATATTGGACTCGTGAGATCATGGGACTATAACGTAAATATAACCCGCGTGTTTAAAACATACCATAGTTACATATGTTGATAGTATCTCAGACATTCGTTTGACTTCAAATTCTCATTATGGTTTCACTTTTTCCACCCGCAACTCTCACTTTATAGCCCCACTCTCACTCATACCACTACGAGTGGCCATGTTCACTCATTACAATTTGGCCAAAATCGTATTAACTTGCCAGCCGGCCTTCAGTTTCTCCAACGTTTTCAGCTCAAGCGCTCCATGAAGCGCTGAAAGAAATTTTGTCTTCAATCATTGGAAATATCAAGTGGAACTTAAAGGGATAAGATGCATTATATGTACCTGTTGGGTGGACTGGCATTGCGTGAGTACAGATCAATGTGTGCACTAAAAATGAAGGAAAAGAAAAAGTCCTTATCTTTCTTATCCCCAGTCATTATTTGCCAGGCAGCTTCAACCAGGAGTTTTGCAACCAGCAAACCACTGCCCACCTATGAAGATGATGGCACTACAGTGCCTCCCCCAAGTGTCACACCTTCTCCCACAAACAGAGACATTACTCTAGGTCCCTGCAAGTGGGTCGTTGGCCGAAGTTGTCCCGATCCAGATGTGAAGTATTATATATACACGCGACATAATGCAATGGATAGACAATGCCTTCACATCGATGATAGCCTGGAGAAGTCGAATCTAACAGCCTCCTACTTCAATCCCAGGCATCCCACAAAGATCATCATCCATGGCTATAACTCGGATATGTTTCTACATCCCCTACAGAAAATGCGAGATGGTGAGATTTATGCTTTGTCCATTAACAATTAAAGCATACAATTCATCCCACCCCTTAGAATACCTCTCAAAATCGGATTACAATATTATATATGTGGATTGGAGCGTTCTGTCTCCGGGTCCCTGTTACATCAGTGCCGTACACAATACTCGTCATGCTGGGACGTGTACGGCCCAGCTGGTGGAGCGTCTTGTGGAGACGGGCAACACGGATATCCATGTGATTGGCTTCTCCCTCGGGGCACAGCTTCCCAACTATATAGCGAGGAATCTTACCTCGTTTATGCTACCCAGGATTACGGGGTTGGACCCGGCAATGCCGCTGTTTATTACATCTGGAAATGCGGATAAGCTGGATCCGAGTGACGCCACATATGTGGATGTGTATCATACGAATGCCCTCGTCCAGGGAAAGCTGGAGAGATGTGGTCACGCCGACTTTTATATGAATGGTGGCATCATGCAGCCAGGCTGTAATGGACAGCAGATAAGTAAGATACACAAAAAGACAACTAAACTTGAAGATTAACTTTGGTTACCCCCTGTAGACTCCTTTGCCTGCAGTCATCAGCGTGCTCCTGCCTACTTTTTGGAGTCCATACGCTCACCTAAGGGATTTTGGGGCTGGGCATGCAGCGGCTACATCTCTTACCTGCTCGGAATGTGTCCCCCCACGAATTTCCTGCTGGAGGCTGGCGATAACATTCGTTCCACCACTCGAGGAATGTTCATGATCGACACCAACGACAGCTCTCCCTATGCCCTGGGCAAGTGGACGGATCTGCCAACACTAGGGGCCAAGCAACCGCATATGCGAGCTCCTCCCAATCAAGTAAAGGCCCCGCCCAATCAGAGTGTGGATCCTTTGCTGCAGCACATCGATCAGTTTGGCAAACTGGCCGCCAACTTCAACAACCTGGCGATGTCGCCCAGTGGCCGGGATCCCTATGAGCACTGGACCAGCTTTAGTCCGGAGAACAAGGAAAACGATGACGATGAATCCGTAGAGGAGCAGGATTTGATTGATCCAGATGATCGCCAGCTGGCATTGCAATCTCAGCCAACCATGGAATGGTGGGATTATCGGAGGAATCTCACGTATGGATTCATAGAAAATAATATATTCGCTATGCCAAAGCTGAAGTAGCGCCGGATTGGATCGATGCTAGTTCGATCAGTTAAATCCCACCCTTGCCCCCGATTTCCTTACTAATAATTAACGAATGCAATCTTCATTGTGAGGTGATATACAACAAATGCAAATACAGTGCGTTTCAAAACTATACCGCTATTCGAAAGTTGCAACTGAATTAAGGTTTAATCATGCAGCATTATAATATAGAACTATTCCTGAGCCCTAGAGCAGTAATGTTTTAATAAATAAATTAGTTAAATAAAGAAAAATATATGATAGATTTTGTAAATATTAAAAAAAGTACAATACAATACAATAGATCGTTAAAAAATGTATAATTTAGAGCTAAAGGTAGGTGCACCATTATGGGATTAATAAGGACTATTATCGAGAGCGGCCTTAATTTCAAAACTGAATTGTAAATTGATCCTGCTTGATGATTGGGCTTGCGAAGATTATAGTTGTGAAACGCAGTGTATGGATTAATCGTATAATTCAAGCATCGTATTATTTTAAACAATTCCGGAATACAATAGCAGATTTGTATTAATTGTAAATTGTAATAAATTTTTAACGCCATATTAATTAGAAATGGACTTGAAGAATGTGGAGTGCCGGTTCGGAAATCGTATTTTCGGTGTATGTATGTTCTATTCCTCTATTTTCTATGCAGGGATTACCATTTGGGAGATAGGATGTATCTGGGGCTGGGTTATGTATACAATTACATGTACATTTACGAGTAGAAAACATCCCCCCTCGCTGACGCAGACGACGACGACAAGCGTAGCATGCTATGATGATTGCTTTAATTTCCCCTTCCTTCCCATTCCGTCTGTCCGTCCGTCCCCGACTTCTGAGCTTACGTAAAATCCTAATCCGTACAATAATAATCGCCACTGACTGTTGCGTTGCTGCCGTTGCTGAGGATCAGCCCTATACCTTTTTTTTTACCACTCTTTTGGCACGCGTTGTCGGCGCTGCGGGGACTGGGGTTGCCGGCTGGGGTGGCGGGGATGGGGACTCAGGTGTTTCTGCGTCTGCGACTGGGACTGCTGCTGACGACTCTGGCTCCTCGTCTGGTTTTTCTGGTTGCGGCTCATCGATAGCCTCCACCTTGATGTCCACCTCCATTTCGGGCTGCTCAGTATCACTGTTGCCGGACATGGGCGATGGTGGGGCACGTACTCGATCGGGATCATCATCCTCCTGATCGAGCGACGTGCTGTTTGTGCTTGCATCCTCTTCCTCCAGCACCGACAGGTGATAGAGCTTCATGTCCTCCTCGGAAATGGGCACAGGTGCGTTCGAGAGCGGATCTCGTCCATTCAGCGACTTGGGGAATGCAATCACATCGCGTATGGACCGCGCCCTGCACAATATGGCGATGAGGCGATCCAGGCCTAGGGCAATACCGCCATGCGGCGGGCAGCCCGATTCTAAGGCACTCAGTAAATGTGACAAATGCTCGTGTGGTATCTTGAGGATCTGTTCCAATATAAACTGCTGCATATCGCGGTCGTGGATACGAATAGAGCCACCGCCCACCTCTTGGCCATTGAGCACCAGATCGTACGCCTGTGAGCGTATGTTCTCTAGGTTTTCGCAGCTGGTGGCAAAATTATCCAAATCATCGATGTGCGGCTGCGTAAATGGATGATGAACGCTCTCTAGCTGATTTGTTTCTCGATTACGCTCGAACAGCGGAAAATCTATGACCCAAAGGAAGCGATAATCATTGGGCTTTTTCATCTTGACATTCTCTACCAGAAAATCGTGGTAATCCAGGCGAATGCGACCCAGCAATGCGCGCTACAAGCGTAAGAAAATATTAGAGAGATTGTAGAGATTAACGGGCGTAGAGTTCCAATAAACTTACCGTTTCCACTTTGGGTCCAATGCCCAGAAAGAGCAGATCATTCTCCTCGAGATCAAACTTCTCTGTAATTTCATTGGCCACCTGCTCGCCCAGCAGTTTGCCGAGTCGATCCTGTACATCCGTGGCGGGACCGAATTTGCGCACGAACAGTGTACCAATAAAATCTTTGCCGAGACCCTCGTAGTGCTTGCGGGCAGCGCCATTCCAGAAGGCCTCGCTCGCTCGCACCACAATGGCATATGCAGCAAGACCGCCCTCATATTTGCCCTTATACTCCTCGCTCTTGTCGATAATTTCGGAAACATTGTTCAAGAGAAAGCCGAAGCGTGTGTCGGGCTTGTCGTTTCCGTATTTCTCCAGTGCCTCCTCATAGGTGATGCGGCGGAATGGAGTCTGCAGCTTGGGCAGGTGCTTGGGCCACGAATAGCGCAGGGTCTCCTCAATCAGCTGCATAATGCCATCACGACTGGTAAACGACAGCTCTATATCGAGCTGTGTGAATTCCGGCTGACGATCGGGACGCGTGGCCTCGTCGCGGTAGCATCTCGCCACTTGGAAATACCGATCGACGCCACCAGACATTAGCATTTGCTTGAACTGCTGCGGGCTCTGGACGAGCGAATAAAAGTGTCCGGCCTTGCGGGTGGGCACCACAAACTCCTGAGCGCCGCCGGGGGTGCGTCGGAACAGAGTCGGCGTCTCCACCTCGACGAAGCCCAAATAGTTGACCAGATATTCGCGCATTTTCATGATAACCGACGATCGCAGGCGGAGATTGTGCTGCATATCATTGAACCTCAAGTCCAGATAGCGATGCGTGAGGCGGAGTCGTTCTCCAGCGCGATTGAATTTACGTATCTCGAAGGGCAGGTTCTTTTTGGACGGATTCAGAACAAGTACCGTATCCGCTTCCACTTCAACGTGTCCGGTGCTCATTTTGGGATTGACAGTGGCCCCTGGTCGCGGTATCACCGTGCCCTCCACACGAACAATTGACTCAATGGGTACCCCAGTCTCTGAATACTCCTCCAGACCCTTAGTCTTGGGCAGCAGCAGCACTTGCGTTTGGCCATAGGCATCGCGCAGTATGAAGAACTTGTTCATTCGCTGGAATTCTAGCCATCCGCAGATGACAACCTTTTCGTTGATCTCATTCGATGTGAGCTCGCCGCAATTGTGTGTGCGATCAGCAAACTTATTCGTATCGGCTACCTTTACGCGCTGCTCGGGATTGCTGCCATTGTTGGTGGACGATGTGGCCTCTGGTCCGACGTCTTCCTTGGGCTCACCATTGTTGGTGTCCGCATGGGAGGAGCCGCAGGCGGCGGCCTCTTCTGCCTCGAGATCATCAATGGACATCTTCTGTTGCTTCTCTTTGAGTTTAATGGGGCCATCGTATGGGTCATCGGGGTTCAAGATCTTAACGCTAGTCACACTGACCTCCACCTCGCCAGTGTCGTATTTCTGAAAGATGTATACGATCAATGACATAGTCAATAATAGGAATTCTTTCGAAACTCACCAAATTAATATTGGCTTTGGGTCTTCCCAGCACTTTTCCCACTACTTGGAGCACAGTTTGGTCGGGCGTAGACATAAAGGTGTCTATTAGCTGTGGATAAAGATTCGAGACATTTAATGATATAATTTATATACTCGATAGACCGACTCACCGACTGATCTTCAATCATTAACTGCGTTTGGCCATAGCCATCTTTAAGCTGCAAGAATTTGTTGTTTTTCGTGGATGGTATCCAGCCCACCAGAGTAACAGTCTTTCCCACATCATCGCGCCTCAGATCGTTGCACGTTAGATCGCGATTCTCAAAGTATTTCAGAATGTTTTCGTTCCCTTTTGAAATGATTATTTGAATTAGTAAAACATCTTTGCTCTCTCTCTTTGAAACTCACTTGCAATCTTGTACTCAGTGCTGGTGATGCCTTGGGTGCTCTGCTGCTGCACCATGGTGCTGTAGCTGCGCTTATCGCCCGCCCGTTTTGTGCCGCTGGCCGGGAAATGTATGTTGAGGATATCTTGGACCTCAACCTCTATTTCGCCTGTTGGCATCGTTTGATTGCAGGAATTGTGCGGCCTCCTCATCACTTGCCCCACAATCGTGAGCGTTGTATTCTCGGGCATATTATTCATCCGTCGCGCCACCCGGGGATGCTTGTCCTCGAGAACAACCAGCTGGCAGGCGCCACCATTGCGATCCCTCAGCTCAGCGAAGCGATTCACCCGCTTCTTGATCAGCCTTCCCGAGAGCTCCACAAACAGGCCACAATGATGATTCCGCAACTCGCCACAGCTTTGCCTCATGGGCTGCGGGGGCTGCGAGTTCATGTTGATATTGCTTGCCATGGCGCTCATCAGCTGCATCATGTCATTGTAGGAAACGTTGGGGCCCACTGCAGCATGAGAGTACGGAATATAGATAGTGGAAAATCTGGGATAAAACTGGGTTTGAGGGACTTACTGTTGAAAGGATTGGGCCCTGGGCCGAAGTTATCGTTGTAGCCACCGTTTCCGCCTCCATTGCCACCGCCACGATAATTGTCAAAATCATTATAACCACTACCGCCATAGCCAGGCCCACCTGGAGGACCACCGGGTCCGCCGCCATAACGCCCGCCGCCTCCGCCACCGCCACGATACCGACCACTCATTATCTGCTGGGGAGTATAGCTCATGGTAAACTATTTCTAGAATCGCAAAAATCCAGGCACACGGCACACTTACGTGACTACAATCAACCGGCTCTTCCGCTAGCGCTAATGAAATTGAGGAGTTCTGGTCCCGCCTTAATTTTCCACTGCTCGCCGCGGCACGGTGCACGAGTGCTGCTTGTAGTTGCAGTCTCTGGTGACTACGCCAAATCGTCCTGGAAATTAATAACATTTTGTTAAACAAATCGCGTTTTTTATTTAATTATGGCCGCATGCAAGCGCTGATGTAAAAAATTTTCAGACCCAGCGCGAGACACACACACACACACACACACAACGCATACAGTGGCAATTGGACTCAACTGCACACATACACAATATCGCGACTGTGTGCCGGGCGTCGCGAAAATGCCGACGAAAAACATGCCAAACTCGATGAGAACGTACCGTAGTAGGTGAAGCGCTT